CGTTCGATGGGCTGAATTACACAAAACGCATGATCGCACCGGCTAGTCTGGTGCGCGTTGCCATTTTTTTTGCATTTTTCGCAGGTTAATTACTGTACCTGACCTTTCTGATCTTGCGCAGACTAAATATCCAACAGTTCCGGTGTTTTGTTAAATACAGAATTTGTTCAGCCCTGTAGAAAGCAAATGATATGTTTGTTCTTTTTGTCCTGTAACTTTTCCATCCGATAATTTGGGCAGTCAAAAAAGTAGCAAATAGTCTGTTAGAAGCCAATCCAACCGGGGACAGCCCACCGGATCAGTATCATTTTTTGCTGACCAATGATGAGAGAAAACACCTGGCCAAGGACGCAGTCTTTTTTAAAACCCGTGCTACTGGGCAAAGCTACTGCCTATCAGGCTACGACCAATACCCAAAAAACTCCATCAGAGCCAGGCGGCGGCGAGAGTCCCAGTTCGTCGACTTTTTAACCGGTAACCAACGACAGAGCTTCAGATCTCTATAAAGGCCGAGTAAATTGGTCGAATATATAAATCACCTTCTCAGTTCAAGATTTTTAATTATGCCACATGCATTGATTTATTTCATTGCTGGTCCAAATTTTCCAAGTACACGACCTTATGTAGATCAGAGAAGCCCAAAACGGAGAAGAATGGAGAAGTTGCCAGCTGCATCAGTGACTCGAAGAAAGCAACAACTGAGCAGAGAATCAGAGTAAAATATGTGTTTAAATGTTTCTTCTTTCTTCTATATGCGCCTAGCTTATTTCTTGGGTTTTTTTTTTGGCTCAAACGGATGAAAAATGATTGTAGCTCGTATTGAATAAATGCTTTGATGTCACTGAGGGAAGGCAAAAAATGACAATGTAATCAGCGGGTACAAAGGCGGAGCGGCGCGTAGACTCGTTTTGAGCGCTAGTGGAACGATCGGCGGGACCTGTTTGTAGCTTTTCTCACATCATCTTTGCCCATTGTAACAGGCAATTCATTTTCTTAAACTCACGTTGCAAGACACCCTTTTTGCCTACTTTCCGGCGAGGTGAACTGTACACTTAGCGAGGAAGCCACGTCGTTTATAAGTCGATTGAGTGTAGCAACCTCAAGAAAGAGACACGGCCGAGTAAATTCATCGAGAATGCTCAAGTATTTTTTTTTGTTTTTTACAAATTTTACGCAAAAGAATGTGTACATGATGTCCCGCAAAGCATATCAAGCTTACTAATTTTGTCAGTAACAAATTCCGCTCCGCATTGTATCACACTTTACCGCATCTAAAACTGAATTGTTTCACCGAATTTTTTAAACTTTATTCAAAAAAATAGACTACTTTTCCTATACCTCAATGTTTCTTTCGCTTTCCTCTTTGTCATTCTGGAATCTTCGCTTCCTAATCAAAATATCAATAGTTAGTACCGTATTTCCTCAGTAAATTGATACTTTTGAGGTTTTTAGCCAATTTACCTCAACGAACACAGTTCGGTAACTCTCAGTTAAATTCAACTCCATTTTAGTCGGTTTTTTTTTAATCGTCTGTTGGTCCGATTTTGGTTATCAATCAAATTTTTATTTACTTTTTAATCATTCACTAAGTGACTTAATTAAATGCTTCAACATTTATCATTTAGCAAGATTTAAATTTTTTTATTGCGCTGTTTCAGCTAGTTCAGTGGTACGGTATTAGTGCTTCTAGGAATATATTATGTTGATTCCACTATATTTCATTTTGTTAGCAGTGTTCTGGAGTGGTGCTTCGATCGAAAAGGGCAGCAAAAGGTAGATCTTTGGTTGTTTTATTTAATACTGTTCAGGAACATACGAAATTTCCAGATTCAAAGCTTATCGTTAAGCAAAGTTCTGTTTCTTCTCGTTATCGCTGCAACTGGCAGTTTCTCCATTCTGATTCGTTCGGAGCTCATCTTATTCACAAAACTCTATATGAAGGCGTTCCAAAGATAAAGTTCGAAATAAAATCCAATAATTTATATTACCTTTCCCGACAAATCTAGAATTATTTTGGAAAGTTAAGCCTGTGGTACTTAGCAAATGCTCTAAATTATATACCTTCATTACAAAGTTTTATCTAGATCTTTTCAGAGTCTATTCGCTCGTCCAGATTATTCCAAAGAATAATGATGAATTACGAGTTTTGTCTGATCTCTACATTAATGACGACGAAATGGTGCGCCTCAAATTTTTGCATAAAAAAATTAATAATAGTTAGAACAATATAATTTTTAGTAAAAAATCATAATTATGAATAAAAAATTTCTCGCACTGATTACAAAAGCTATTGAGATCGAATAAATAAACAAATACCTACACACATACATACATGCATACCCACATATACACATACACACATACGTACACACATGCACACATACATACACACATACACACACATACAAACATACATACATATTATATGCACATACACACATACATGCATTAACACGTAGAAACATATATCTACATATATATACACACAAGCATACTTTCAAGCATGCATTCATACGCTTTCATACATACACACTGAACCGAGCAACATTTATAGCGCGCAAGGTGCCTCGCTGAACTTTGTTTGGAATT